CGGCCTGCAGCCCCCTCTGCAGCCAACGGCGTGGCCGTCCCACTGAAGGACATGGCGCCACGTGCGCGGGCAAACGGAGGGCGGTGGGAAGGCCTAGCGTTTATGGAGGGGCCGCTGGGAGGGAGGTCCTCGGGTCGCGGGAGAGGCCGCTAGAGAAAGGTCTGGAGTCGCAGAGAATTAGACGTCCTTGAAACCAAGCGAGAGCCGGCCCCACCGACAGGGCCCGTGCGTCTCCCAGGACGCCCCGGAGAAGCGCGGGCGGCAGGTGGGCTCCGCGGAGGGGCGTGGCCCAGCGCCCTCCGAGACCGGGCCTGGACACTCGAGCCGGCACAGAGGCGGCGTCGGCGCCACCCACGGCTCCATGTCTCCCCTCGCCTCCCCCAACGGGAGACGCCTGCCCGCCTGGGGCTGCGGCCACCGTACCTTGATCACCTTGAAGCTCAGGAAGCTTCTGTGGAGCATGATGACCTTGTACTCTGCCGCGCCCTCGTCCACCACGTGGCGCAGCGTCAGCAGCTCCTCCCTGTTGGACAGCACCGCGCCCCTCCAGGCCGGGTCGCCCTCGTGGCAGATGACGACTTTCTTCTCAAAGGACTGGATGGCCTCGTACAGGACCACTGGGTCCTCGAACTCGTCAGGGCACGTGAACTGGGCCTGGGGGAAAGAGGCCCGGCGGTGGGCTCACTAGGGACCAGGAAGCTGATGCTCGGCCGGGTGCACAATGGCCACCCGCCAGTGACCCGCAGGCAAGGTCCACTCCCACGTCTCACTCGCCACTGCCGCCCCTCTGAACCCTGGACTGGACGGAGGACGCCCCCGCCCCATTGCCCATTGCAGGGCGAGCCTCGGGAAAGAGCTTCGTGGCTGGGTTCCCCTGACTTTTCTGTACAGTTAGGGGCACCTCTGATCTGTCATTTTCTCTGGCCAGGTCCATCTGAAAATGTCACCGCCTCCTAGAAGCTCTGGGGGGCAGAGTGCCACTGGCCATGTCGGGAGTAGCCGCATGGCCTCAACGTGTGGCTTCCTAAGTAACCAGCCCGCTCGTGAATGTCCTGCCAAGAAAGGCGGCCCCATTTTTGAAAGCTTATTTTCTTTCTTAACGTTTTAGGCGCATACTCTTTTTTTACAAAAACGGATCGTCACCTGGTGAAGCTTCAGGGACATCCTAATGGCCGGGGCGACGACTTTGTGCAGCAGGTCCATGTCGGCGAACACCCACTCATCCTGGGCGGTCATCCTGAAGTCGCCTTTGAAGAGGGCGTGGAGACCGTACAGGAACGAGTCCAGGCTGAAAAACAGAGCCCGTTACTGTTCTCCTCAGCGGACAAACGGCGTCCGAATCGCGTCGCTTCGAGCCCGAGTCTCCCACCTGTCACGTCCCGAGTGACCCTGGTGTCTTTACACTGACGCAGCAGAAGGGAGGGTCCTGGACTCGCCCACGGGACCCCTGACCAGAGCCCGCATCGCAGCCTCACAACAAATGGGGTCACAGTCGTCAGTAATTTTAGGAGCCACCGACGAACTTGGTAGCTCAGTGAGACAGTGGAGGTCGTGGTCGGCACCGGCCTGCCGCGTACAGTGACCTGCTGTGGTAGTGCCACCCACACCCCGCTTGTCAGGAGGTGACGGGCTAACCGTGGGTTACATCCTGGGTGCTTTGTTCTTCGTGTTTCTAGATATCGTTTTTGGGCGGCGTGAATCATTGTAAACCCTGGATTCTACAACATGGGCAGAGAAACGAAGCCACCGGGAACAGCAAATCGATCGCTTAGATCCCCAGAGAACATGTCCGCTTCCTCTAACGGCGTGCAGAGCAGCAGGAGAGACGGGGTTTCCCAGGGGCACCCAGGTTTCCACGCTTCTAGGCTTTTCCTTCTTGAGTCAGTTTCCCGCGAGTCTGAGCATCGTTGGGCGGAGAAGCCGCGAGGCCCTCAGGGAGCCTCACGGTCTGCGTCCCTGTGTTTCGGTGAACACGGGGGACGTGGGTTGGGAAGAGACTCATCCTGGTTGTGAGGAGGGCAGAGCTGTCCCTGATCCTCAGTAACAGCCCCCAGGGCCTGGCCTCTGACACCCTGCGGGGCCGCAACGGGCAAGGAGGCCTGCGGGGGACGGAGCGAGCGCGGGCGAGTGGGACTCTCCGCGTGTGAATCTCTGAGTGTGAATCTCTGAGTGTGAATCTCTGCGTGGGAATCTCCGAGTGTGAATCTCCGCGTGTGAATCTCCGCGTGGGACTCTCCGAGTGTGAATCTCTGACTGGGACTCTCCGAGTGTGAATCTCCGAGTGGGACTCTCCGAGTGGGACTCTCCGCGTGTGAATCTCCGAGTGGGAATCTCCGAGTGTGAATCTCCGCATGTGACTCTCTGAGTGTGAATCTCTGAGTGGGACTCGCCGAGTGTGAATCTCCGTGTGTGAATCTCCGCGTGGGACTCTCCGAGTGTGAATCTCTGAGTGTGAATCTCCGAGTGTGAATCTCCGCATGTGAATCTCCGAGTGTGAATCTCTGCTTGGGACTCTCCAAGTGTGAATCTCCGCGTGGGACTCTCCGAGTGTGAATCTCCAAGTGGGAATCTCCGCGTGGGACTCTGAGGGGCGCACACTAGGCTGACTGCTGCTTCTGCAGGGCGCTGGCGGCCACGTCAGTCACTGAGCTGCCGGAGGTGCTGCCTGCCGTCTGGAGCTCCCTTGAGAGAGACACGCGAGGTGTCAGGTCAGCGCAGACTGTGGGGATCCAGTTGGGCGGGGCTTCGGTGCTGTGGCCTGGAGGGCCCTGGAAGCTTCCAGAAAGGGCTCCAGGAAGTGGCCTTGCCCAAAGGCTCCCCCTCATCGAACCAGGACCTCCGGGGGCTGGAGCTCTAGGGATGGCCTGCGAGGCAGGCGCGGACGGGAGTGACCGAGGGGCCTGGCAGGACAGCAGAGCTGGGCTGCAGCAGGCAGCCCATGGGCCTCCCTGCTCCCGGCTCCTGTCACCAGCCAGGAGTTCAGTCCAGCAGAGGCAGCTAAAGCCCAGTCGTGGGGTGGAGGCTTCTGGAAAGAACGAGAGAGGCCGCGTTGCTTGCACTAATGTGAAAACGCTGCTCCAGATGCAGGGTAAGTACGGTGGCAAAGGACGATAAAGGGACGTGGAGGCCACCCAGAGCGGCCACCGCAGACAGAAGGGAGGGCAGGGGTTCGAGGCCCAGCGCACGGTTCGCCGGGGGCAGAGCGGGGACCACCGAGGGCCCGCCCAGCGGGGAAGGACTCGCATCCTCGGGAGCCTCCGAAAGGCTGGCCTTCGTGGGGACCAAAGCGGCCACCACTCCGTCCCTGCTGCCCTCCCTGTAACTCTCGGCCTGTCCCGTCATAGAGGTCACAGAGGTCACAGAGTTTGTCAGCCAGGCGATGAGCAGTGCAGGGATGACCACGTCCCGTCGCGTCGGATTATGTAGGGGGCAGGCAGGGCAGACCCCGAAGAAACCTGCCACGTGTGTAATCGTGTGTGAGAGAAGCCTGGCCACACGGGCAGAACCAAGACCGTGGTGCCGAGACGGGCCCGGGCCTACACGGTCCCCCACACACCAGAGCTTTAATAAATAAGAACGGCTCTGCAAATGCCACTCCTTCACGTGGGGACGAGCAGATGGCACCTGAGTGCAGTTCCTTTTTAACTGGGATGCAACGCCACCCTCCACCCCAACGAGCCTGTGCCCCGGCCTCTGCCCACAGCCGTGGACCTGACCTGGCGGATACGGCCTCTCCGTAGGCCTCGCCCCTCCACCGGGCTCCATCCGTGCTCCACGGCCATCTTGCCTTTTGGCCGAGTGTGCATGTGTGTGCGCACATGTGCGCACGTGTGTATGTGTGTGTGTGTGTGCATGCGTGTGCATGCGTGTGCATTACTGTGCTGGAAAAGATGTCCCGCTTCTGCCTCAGCATGACTGCACCCCCAGCAGACACTGAGACCGTAAAGCAGGGTCCTGGGGATCCCCGACTGTAGCGACTCCTACTTTGTCTCCTGGTTCCCGATCCAGCTTCGCGCTAAACTCAGCCGGAAGCCGATGCTGACGTAACCGCTGCTGAAGGGTGCAATGAGATCGGCACCTAAGCACAGCAGTTCCCGGCCTCCCGGGAAGGGCCACTTTCTGGCTGTCACCGCAGAGCCGGCCACTGACCATGCTGTGGCCCGGGGTTTGTCTGAGGCTTACACTTTAACGGTCCAGCACATTCAGCATCCTCGACCATCGCCGTTCGTGACACAGACAGATTGGGGTTCGCTGGCTGAAGCAAATTTGCTTGTCCTCTCGTATCTCAGCTTCTTTATTCACGGGGGTCAGGGGAGGGCTGGGGGTGCACACACTCTGTTCCACCCAGCGCTGGGGTTGCTCACACCCTCTAGGCCCGACTGCTGTTCACAATCCCTGACCAGCTCGGCCCAGTTATCAACAGCACCCTCTCTCACTGGTTCTCAGCTCGTGGCAATTTTGCCTCCCAAGGCACATCTGGCAATACCCGGAGACATTTTTGAGTGTCACAAATGAAGGGGTGTCCTACTGGCTTCCAGTGGGAGAAGCCAGGTGGGTGCCGCTACCATGCCCAGGACAGCCCCTGCGACCAGGAGCCAGGCGTCCACAGTGTCCCGAGTGCACTGTCGAGAAGCCCTGGTCCTTCGGAAAACAAGAGCACGCCTGGGGACGCGGGTTCGAAGGACGGACAATGGGGCCGTCACCTCGGGCCCAGACTCGATGGACCTTAGGAGTCAGAGGGAGACACGTCGGTGCGGGAGAGTTTTGTGGGACTCGCTCCGGGCTCCTCAGAACGGTGACCCTCATTTCGATCACTTCCTCACAGGTCCGTACGCCCTGTGTGCAGATCAGCGTGCAAAGCGTCTTCTGTGGCAGCAGGTGGCCACGAACGGGGGCTTTTGAACGCGCCAACAGCCAGGTGTGATTTGCAGGCCGGAAACAGAGAAGCGCAGAGAGGCGGTTTGCACACACCGCGTCACACCGCGTCACAGAGTCCCGCTCCGCCAGTCCCGTCCACCCTGCGCAATCCCTCAGATCACCCTGGTCGTGGGGACAGGTCCCTGGGGAGGCTCCGCTACCCCACGGCGCCCGCCAGCTCCTCCTCACCGCCTGAGCTTGCCTCATCGGTGGATCCTGTGCCGGGCTGTACCTCGAGCAGCCGAAGGCACTTGCTGGTTCTGCGTCACGGCCCCCGGAGCTCACGGTGGCCCGTGCCCGGTGGCCCCTCACCCTGTCCTGCTGGCCTGGTGCCCCCGGCCCGGTGCCCCTCCTGTGACAGTGGCCGCTACTTCACACTCCCTCATCATTTAAGATGATCTCAGTTTACTCATCGTCCCTAGTTCTGTATGCACGTGTTTTTATTTCTTAAGGATTGTTCATTGGAGCTGTGTCTCTGTCATAAGATCAAAATATTTCCCCTATACCTCCATCAGTGTAGCAGAGCGTGTGCGTTATGCTGGGCTGCTGTGTACGACTCCCCTGGGAGTCGGTGTTCAAATCGTCCACTGCTCTTTGACGCTTAATATGTGAGAGTAACTCGCTGGGTCTCATAAGTACACCTAAGGGCATACGCCTGCTTCTGAAGTTATACGAGGACACGGTGTGTGCACACACACTCGCACAAGTGCAAGTACACACATGTACACTCCCATGTGCACGCACATGCACGCACATGCACACACATGCACACACATGCACATGCACACACCCACACAGTGCATGCACACATGTGCATGCAGGCACACACATGCACACGATACTCTCACACACGTGCGCACGCACATTCCCATGCCAGGAGCCACTCATACCTTGAACGTGGCCATATTAACTAAACGAAATAAAATAGAACCAAATGGAATCCATCATCGTATGGAAAGGATGACACACCGCGACCACGCAGAGTGCGCCTCACGAGTTTAAGGGGGTTCGGCATGAAGAGCTCTATTAGGGTGACCCATTAATTAGTAGGTTTAAGGGAAGAATATCATCAGGATATTGGGGAACACACATCCGGGGCCGCTCGTGGAAACCGCCTGGGGAGCCATGAAAAATCCCGGCCCGCAGTCCGCCCACGGTGGCTCCGACCGGGGTAGGCCCGGGCATCGGGAGACGTATTAAAGTCCTCCAGGAGACATCTGGGAACCTGCCACTGCTTTGGATGATGACAAGGTGACTGATGACATTCATAAAGGAGCTTCTCCAGAGTGCCAGGAGCAGAAGGCAAGCCGGCAGCGAGGCCGTGGGGGCTCCGAGCGAGCGTTTGGGCTTGAAAGGTCAAGCGCGCTTTGTGAATACAAGACCTGCGGGACAGAGCGGGCGGGGGGGAGGAGAGCTAGGGGAGAGCTTAATTTTGTTCTTTAAAAGGACGAAAAGATCTAGTAGAAAGAGATTGAAAAGGCAGGAGAAGGGGCGTCCCGTCGATCGGACCCCCACCGAGGCAGGCAGAGCGGGGCTTAGACCAGAGCCCAGACGTGAGAAAAACGCGCGTGAATTTTTCCAGGCCCTCACGTGCACGCCTTCCCTAATCTTCCCATCATATCTGCAGGGACCCTGGGGACACACGAGGGCAGAACTCCCAGCTTCTGGCTGCCCACGTCAGCGCCACTGTCAGATCTTGTCCTTGACAGTGATGGAAAACATCTTCCCGCGGGCCTAGCGTGATTTATCACGGACAGGACAATCCGAAGGAAGTAGCAGCCATCCGAATTTAAAGTAAAGAAAATGAGAACAATCTGTCAAAAAAATAAAATGCAGGCGGGTGCCCACCGTCTCCCCAGTACCTGAGCGCCATGCCGTGAGCGGCTGTCCCCAGAGCCCGCCTCCCGAGGGTGCACAGGGCGAAGGACAGGGTCACCAGGGGCGAGTCCTCGTCACAGTCCAGGCTCTTGGGAGGCTGCAAGAGCAAGGCCGTTAGTTCGAGGTCGCACAGGAGCCAGCAGGCCCCCACCCAGCGTCGCAAGTGCAGAGTCGCGGGGGCTTCATACGTCAGCCACGGAGGTCGACGGGTCCCTGCGGAAAGGACCCAGGCGAGGGAACTCTCCGCTCGTGGTGGCACATGGGGAAGAGCAGAATGAGGGAGCCACTTCAGGGGACAAAGAGGCCACGCTGACCCAATTCTCCGGGGTTCTGAATATGGCGCTTCGGGTCACGCAGATGGTCAGCTTATAGGCAACTAAATGCCACTTTGTACTGTCCCCGATGCCACCGTCACACTGTCCCCACTGCCACCATCACACTGTCCCCCACTGCCACCATCACACTGTCCCCTACTGCCCCCATCACACTGTCCCCCAATGCCACCATCACACTGTCCTCCAATGCCACGGTCACACTGTCCCCCAATGCCACCATCACACTGTCCTCCAATGCCACGGTCACACTGTCCCCCAATGCCACCATCACACTGTCCTCCAATGCCACGGTCACACTGTCCCCCAATGCCACCATCACACTGTCCTCCAATGCCACGGTCACACTGTCCCCCAATGCCACCATCACACTGTCCTCCAATGCCACGGTCACACTGTCCCCCAATGCCACCATCACACTGTCCTCCAATGCCACGGTCACACTGTCCCCCAATGCCACCATCACACTGTCCTCCAATGCCACGGTCACACTGTCCCCCAATGCCACCATCACACTGTCCTCCAATGCCACGGTCACACTGTCCCCCAATGCCACCATCACACTGTCCTCCAATGCCACGGTCACACTGTCCCCCAATGCCACCATCACACTGTCCTCCAATGCCACGGTCACACTGTCCCCCAATGCCACCATCACACTGTCCTCCAATGCCACGGTCACACTGTCCCCCAATGCCACCATCACACTGTCCTCCAATGCCACGGTCACACTGTCCCCCAATGCCACCATCACACTGTCCTCCAATGCCACGGTCACACTGTCCCCCAATGCCACCATCACACTGTCCTCCAATGCCACGGTCACACTGTCCCCCAATGCCACCATCACACTGTCCTCCAATGCCACGGTCACACTGTCCCCCAATGCCACCATCACACTGTCCTCCAATGCCACGGTCACACTGTCCCCCAATGCCACCATCACACTGTCCTCCAATGCCACGGTCACACTGTCCCCCAATGCCACCATCACACTGTCCTCCAATGCCACGGTCACACTGTCCCCCAATGCCACCATCACACTGTCCTCCAATGCCACGGTCACACTGTCCCCCAATGCCACCATCACACTGTCCTCCAATGCCACGGTCACACTGTCCCCCAATGCCACCATCACACTGTCCTCCAATGCCACGGTCACACTGTCCCCCAATGCCACCATCACACTGTCCTCCAATGCCACGGTCACACTGTCCCCCAATGCCACCATCACACTGTCCTCCAATGCCACGGTCACACTGTCCCCCAATGCCACCATCACACTGTCCTCCAATGCCACGGTCACACTGTCCCCCAATGCCACCATCACACTGTCCTCCAATGCCACGGTCACACTGTCCCCCAATGCCACCATCACACTGTCCCCCAATGCCACCGTCACACTGTCCCCCGATACCACCGTCACACTGTCCCCCAATGCCACTTTCACACTGTCCCCCACTGCCACCGTCACACTGTCCCCCGATACCACGTCACACTGTCCCCCTATACCACCGTCACACTGTCCCCCGATACCACGTCACAATGCCCGAAGCAGGGGGAGGCGTTTCTAGCAGGAAAGAAGGACAGGATTGGATGCAAATCGGATTTTCTGTTCTCCCTGTGAGGAGGAGCCGCTGACCATGGGCTCACAATCAACTACTAAATGAAGGGTCACCCCGGCCGCCTTTAAACAGTGCGGCGGGAGGGCAGAGAGAGTTGAAGTCACAGTATCTTTTGCAAAAACATTGAAATGATTTCATGAGTCAGCTCAGGAAAGAGGAGATCCTCCATGGGGACAGCCGAGCAGACGGACAGATCCCCTGACGCCCCCAAGCACCTAAGGCGGCCAACCCCGGGTCCTCGCTGCACCTGGAGAAAGCGCATTCCGCCCCTGCCCTTCCCGCCACCTGTTTTTAATCCCTCACGGAAAGGGCAAGGACCTGGGCTGTGTCACAATTTCGTTTACCCTCGGCAGGTCACGCGACGGACTTCGCCAGCGGCTGAGGTGGCTGCTTTCAACCTGGGTCTACTGTGGCCACACGTGGGTTCGGTTTCGTCCTGAGCTGCAAAGTCAACCGACTTCGTCCCTGGGCGCTCTCCCCTCCCTCCCCCTCATCGCCCGCCCGCCTCCCCTTTTAATAAGCTGTCACCGTCCCTGGTCTCCAGAAGTGTCCACATGCACAAGAAACGCAGCTCGGGAGTGAGTCGGACCATCTGACTGTTAAATAGATTTTCTTGCCCACGATTCGACTCGTGTAGTAAACCCCCGGATCTCACACAGATGCACGTTGTATGCAAATCTCAAAAAGTAACTCTCGACAAAGACGTTTCCAGAGTTTTAAAGCTATGACAGAGGCTTCAAACTGCGCTGACCCTGAGCACGGCGTCCGGGGAAGTGCTTTGAGGATCCTCCGTCAGAGCCACAGTGTATGAATCTGCCATTCGATCCCGCTTAACTGTTAAACAAACACGCATCCAAACACCCACGTTTCTCCTCTAGCTCGTGAGTCTACCCGAGCACAGGGAAGAGATGAAGGTTACGGTGCTTTGAAGCCCACGAGCATCGCCCGCAGCCCCGCGGCCCACCCTACCTGCGGCCTCATCTGTGTGCAGTGCTGGATCCACTCGAGGTAGACGTTGCAGAAGCTGGCGCGCGTGATGCCCTGGAGGCACGGCACGTAGTCGTCATCCGTGTTGATGTTGAACATGGTGAGGTCTCGCTCGATGTGGTGCCACTTGGCAAAGGCCTGCAGGGACTTCAGGAGGGACGCATTTTCGATCCAGGAGAGGAGTTTGGGGGACGTCACCATGTAGTAGATGATGCTCTGCAGAGGGAGAGCGGGATTCTGAGCGCTTCGGGCCACGCAGAAGCCAGAGAGGCTCTTCGCTTACTCCGTGTCACGGAGTGAGTGGCTGTCAGGGAAGCCGGAGACATGACACTTGTTTTTCCTACGCGACTTAATGGCTGAGACCCACTTGAGACGTTCCGAGATGTTCCCTCTTAAGGGGCACTGGAGGGAAGAGGGACGCGCAAAGAGCAGACCGCGGATGGAATGTACCGGAACAGACTTCCCGTGGGGAGGGGCGCGAGGCCAGCTGTAGAAGAGGGAAGGGGGGTCGAAAGCCCAGTTTAAACACCAGCGGAAGGTTCTGGAGGGCAGACCAGAGTCCGGCTCTGTTCTTGAGGCTCCAGGGCTCACCCGCCTGGCCGGCCTGGGTCTGTAGTGCTGGTCCCAGCCACCCTCCTGAGTAAACGCCACCCACTCCGGTCCCCTTGACCCGTCAGCCACTGGATCCAACCTGTCACCACCTAGGAACTAAAGGGGACACTCACGGGACACTTCCTCTGCTCGTCAAGGGAGGCGCCAGGGATAGCTAATGGCCATTTAAGGTCTGTTTCCTCCTCCACGAACACACCGTTTCCACCTGTGTCCCGGCTAACCCAGCGCGCAGTCGCCAGGCCCCTCTGGCTAGGGCACCCCCACCCCGGTCCAGGGGACACCGCAGGAGCATGCCGTGGCAACGTGCAGGAACCTGATTAAGGGACAATGGGTGCGGCCTTGGCCTTTGCCGTCCGTGTCCTCACTCCCGTCCGCTCTGGCCTGAGCGCAATGTGGGGAGACACTCAACACGGTGGAGCCCGCGAGGACGCGCTGGGCCCGCGTGACCACACCGGCCTTCGCCCACGTGACGGGAAGACGCGCCTCATGCATGTGCCACGACTCTCCCACGGCCCTCTGCCAAAGCGCTTGCCAGCTGCCCTGCCGGGATGGCCCGGAGGTGACCGGCTACGACGGCCGAGGGACGAACCGTGACACTGCCATGAGGTCGCGACGGCCCGATCTGCTCTCCGAGCCCCTGGGCAGGACAGCTGTGGCTCCCCCTGAGAGCCCGGGGTGAACCCCACTCCCCTGGCACACGCGAGGGCGGCGGGCGGGAACCGCGAAGTCTGCCTTAAACGCCCTGCCACGGGAAAGGGCTTCGCGACCGCTCCTTGTTGCCAGGAGGTGTCGCCTTGGGGTGTGGCGGCGAAGAGCCATTTAACCCTCTGACCGTCACAGTCTTTCTTCTACGTCCTGTGAACCTGAGCAGCTCCTGACGCTGCCACAGCACCTGCCCCCGTTTCTAAACGTCCTGCCTTTCCCTGCTTGGGACTCGGAACCTATAAGGCTGTGTCGCCCCTCATTCTGCATTTGCTCGTTTCTGCCCGACCGCCCGTCTCAGCCTCGGCACTTTGGGGTCTCAGACGGCTTGGCGTCCTCGCCTTGAACGGCGTTAAAATGTGAACCCCTCTGAGGACCACCCAGGGCTTCCACCTGCCGAGGGCTCCCTCAGAATGGAGGTCGCCACAGAGACCCCGCGGCTGGCCCTCCGTCCCCACAGAAAACACCTTCCCCGGTTGTCACTCTGTGTCCCCGGCCAAGACTCGCCCTTGTTCCCCGGGAGACTTATTCCAAAACGGCACGTTTTCTGAGCTGAACATGCGCTGGGCCGACGTGGGGGCCGCGTGACGGCAAACGGCACACGCGACAAGTCCCCAGAGGCTGTCGGAACTAATCCTGACCATCCCGCTGTGTTTTTGGGTTTTTATCATGAGCTCGGAAGGTAATTCTGGTGCTAAAGTGGTCGTTTTCAGAGCATCTAAACTGACACTCACGATGTGGCGGTTTTTTCGGGATGATTCGATTTATCATCACCGCCACTGCCACAACTCGTGTGAGTTAGAGGCGAGGACACAGCTCTAGGCAAGAAAACGCACTGCCTGTCAGAGCCCGGGCTTGGAATAGGACTCGGGGTGCGACCCTCAGGCTGAACCAAAGCCCCCGAGGATTTTTCATAAAACCCGTGGTTCCCAAACCTGGCTGGGCCTCAGGTTCAGAAGCGACGGAGAAGCTCCCAAATCTAGCTTTTCAGGCGCCTCCGAGCCGGCCCAGCGTGACACCTCAGACAGGTGTCCGGGACCCAGCGCGGTACCTTGACGTAGTATCGGATGAGGAGTCTCCGGAGGTCGAACACCTGCAGCATGGTGGCCGCGTTGTTGTCCGTGATGCTGTAGCTCTCCAGGATGTACCGCGTCCGCGTGACCTCCCAGGTGAGCCAGCGCAGGTTGAAGGCGGCGTTGCAGGACAGCAGGTGGGGCGCGTGGCCCGGCTTGCAGCAGCAGCAGCCCCGGTCGTCCTCGTCACCTTCCATGATGGCTTCCACCTCCCTCTGCTGGCAGTAGGTCCCTGGCAGAGCACAGACAGGAGGGGAGTTACACGAGAAGCCGGAGGATGGCTTCCGTTCAGAGTGGGGTGCCCTCGCCTTCACGGGCGGGGAATGGGGTCCCCTCGCCTTCACGGGCGGGGAAGGCCCAGCGACCGGGAGGCCGGCTTGACTTTTCGTTCCCACGGCGCCCCAGCTAAGTCGCCGCTCTCACAATCGTCACCTCCTTCATTCCTTCCTGTTCACGCCGACCCTCGCCTCCCATGTGTCGTGTCGGAGGAGACGCACTTCCACGGTGCCCGCGGACGCTAATGGTTCTACCCGTGTCCCCTTTCCAGAACCCGCACGTCACAGCTGGCGTCCGAGCGTGCTCGGTCCACACGAAAGAGTCTCCAGGACGAGTGCCCTGGGAAGGCCCCTCGGCCAAACAGCAAGGGCAGCTCGTCACCTCACGCGACCGAGACCAGCTCTGGGTCTCACGATACGATGATGGGACAAGCACCTCTGGGAGCGAGACGCACAGGCGAAGCACTTCACAGGTGGCCGAAACAGTCAGTCTCAGCGTGTGGCTCTCCGGAGGCCAGTGCCACTCAGGGCAAGTGTCAGACTTGTGCACCCGGGGAGGACATCGTACTGTGCAGGAAATCCTGGGTGCGGACACCTTCCCCCCACCGCTTTGACGGCTGCTGTATCTGATGCTTTTTCCCTGGCAAGCCCAGGAGTGTGGACATACGCGTGGCCGGCTGGTGCGGGCACGCCTGTCTCGACGGTCAGCCAGGCTAGAGGTAGAGGTGACATTCTCGGGGGAAAGCTGGGACGCCAAAGGGGGACAGGTGTCTGAACAGAAGGTCTGGCAACTGAAAATCAAGCCCACCCCTCGCCCCATCCCATTCACTCCTCCCGTGGGGTGGTGGCCGTTGGCCCCAGGAGGCCTGGGCCAGAGAGGTGGGGGGCGAGTGGAAACCTGACCCTAGGGACACATTTGAACTTAATTCTGAAAGTGACAGGCAGGTGATGGGGGTTTTGAGCTCTAAGGAAACCTGAAAAAAGTCGCCGAGTCCCCTGCAGCCTCACGGGAGTAAAGAGAAGAGATTGGTGACAGACACCGGCCACCCACAGTCCCATTGCAGGGGGAAAGCGATGGGGTACGGGCTGCTTCCGGGAGGTCAGAGGAAGCTGGGCCAGGCCATGATGTGACGGGGTCTTCGAAGGGACATGGGTAAAAGCCTCCCCTGCAGCAGCAAGGCTGTGTTAAAACACGACGCCACCTCGCTTCGTCCCGTCCGGCGAGGACGCGTCCCTTCCAGCCTGACGCCCGGCACCGTCCAGAACCGGCCTCCTGGGCATCTTCCTCCTCATCTGACACGAGCGCTTTGAGCGGAAATGCTCCGCGCTGGGACAGCTCGGCCTGGATTCCACAGGAAACCCCATCCTCACGCGTAGCGTTATTTCAACACCAATCGCGTTTCAAAATAACTTCGCCAGACGTTCGTTTGACCTGCGTTCTCATGTGGCGGCTGCCTTCATCAGCCCGGCACGCCAGGCCCGGGGTAGTGGCAATGAGGGGACAGAAGAGGAGCGCCCTAAGAACACAGGCGGTCCCTGCCGTGGGGCGGGCGACAGAGCCGGTGGCCGGTGCCTTTCAGGCTGCAGGTGGGATTTATAGGCACACGCTTTGGGGTGTGTGCCTGTGGTTATCACATAAAATGCATTTCCTTCCGAGGTCACAGTTAATAGCATTTCCGAATTGCTCTGGGCCACGAAGGAGGAGGCCAGCGGACACGGTCACTGCTGAGCTTGGAGCAGGTCACGCCGTGAGTGTTTGGACCTCAGAGGGTGTGTATTACACGTTGGAGACACGAGAAGCGGGAGACGGGCCCAGCCCCAGCCACGTCTCGTCGGAGATGTGGCCCCTGGCGTGCTACGGGGACACCCCAATGCTTTTCCGAAGGCAGGGACACTAAACTGCGGTGGCCTCCTGCCAGCTGGCCACAGCGAGGGCTATTTGTGACATATCATATATATATTTCCCTACTCCTGCCCATTTAGTTGAGAAAATGAATGCACTCAGCTTTCTAGTCATATTGAATTCAAAGTCAAATCATCTTCCTTTTCTCCCCAAAAGTTACTTTTGAGTGCCGGATGTTCAGATATGCAGAGCCTGGTAACGTCCCACGGGGGAGCCCTGTCCTCCCCAGACCCGCTGTCCAGACAAGCTTGGCTTGTGCCGACCACCACGCCACATAATTTGAAATGAAGAAAAATACGTATTTAGGAATTCCGAATGGAGAACCTATCATCTTACGCATAACGTTTGCCACAAAAGGATTTAAAGGATTACTCAAGCTACGCAGACCCGAGGACTGAGGGCTCGCAGATGGCCTGAACGTTGCCACAGTGAAGAGGGAATTCTAGATAGTTCCGAGATTAGGGCCCGAGCTGCAGCTATACATGGATCAGCCAGTTAGGATCAAGGTTTGGGTTGGATTAACTTTAGATAAGATTAGGTTACACAGATACTTTTCAAATGTCCCCACATACCAGTGGTTATGGGGTGTTAGCCAAACTACGAGATGGCTGATAACGTTTCTCAGACGTTAATCCTGCCGGTTGATAGTTTCCAGACCCGAAGGTAAATGTGGCCACGTCCGGTGACCACGCCTTTGCTTCCCACGCTCACCCTGCGAGGGTCATCAGGCGTCAGGCTGCAAAGCTGCGGGAATGAGGGTCCCAGCTGCTGGGGTGGCGCTGCCGTGGTGACACCTAGCAGCACGTCCAGGGAAAACTTCTGTTTTTGAGTTTCAACACTGAATAGATTTTTAAAGAAGAGTGACTCATTCTTTCTATATCTATATCTATATCTATATCTATATATCTATATCTATATCTATATATCTATATCTATCTATCTCTATCTTTATTAGAGATCGCGTAAGGACTATTCTGATATCATAAGTGAAATGCTCCGGGTAGGGCAGGGTTGGGGTGGGGACACAGGTAAGACATGGGGTCCCGTCCTCTGCGGGTGTCACCGTCTAACGGAGCCTGGTTTGGTCAATTTTTCACAGCCTACAGGAAAAAGGACTGAATGTATAAACTTTGCAGTTTATCCCCAAATAAACTGGCTTTGATCTTCACGTCATTGCTTATTTTGTTATCCAGAATCATTTTTTGGCGCCCGCCCTGGGTGGCCCCAGGCCCGGCACAGGGATAACGGCCCGATGACGAGCATTCATGGTGTGTGCACGCAAACGCCCGAGAACAAATATGATTTTCATTGCAGCTGCGCTGTAAATAAAAAGATAAAGTGATCGATATCGGTTATGTGCTCAAAAAGTGGAAAAATGTGACCACCTGGGAATGTAGAAAATATACAGAAACGCAGTCTCATTCATCGGAGAGGAAATACTGAGACGTGAATAAATTAGCGGAGTTGGGCGTAGCTGCACAAGTCATAGACGAGGTGAATGTCCACAGGACACCGTGCGTTTCCGATATGATTTTTTTGATCGTTCCAGAAACCCGCTTCGTAAAACGACGCTTACGTTCCTAAGACGCCCCCCGGCATGATTTGCGGAGAACAGGCCTCGCCGGAGGCGGACACGGCCGTCCGTCCTCTGCTGAGGACGGGGATGGGAGCTGCCCGCGCACAGCTGTGGCTGATGCCAGCAGCCTCGGAGCTGTCCCCGCGCGGCCGGCCTTAGGCAGGAGACCCGCTTGGCCCCCAACCAGAGGCCGCTTGGGGGCAGTTCCGATGGTTCACGCCGGCAGCCAGTGTCCTGCTGCTTTATACGTCCCGTCCCCCACGCGCCCGGGCCCACACTGGAACCCCCTGGCCGCGCCCCTGGACCTCGCGGTCTGCTCCCCGCCCACCTTCTCCTGGGTGCCCTGGCGGAGACCGGGTCGCTGCTCCGCCCCAGGGGGCTGACCCCTCCCGCCGGCCTCTCACGCTGGCTCCGAGGCACACAGAAGGTGTCCCCACGCTTCTCGCTGGGGCTTTCGGGCTGCTCCCTCCCTGCACCCACACTGTCCTCCCTCGTCACCTCTTCCCCGGCCCGTCTACGTCCCCCTTCTGTGAAGAGACCAGCTCTGGCTCACCGCCACTCGTCGGCACACCTCCTGCCATCACCCTGGGGATTTGGGCGTCCACGGAAGCTCCTCCCAATGTCCCGGGCGGCCACGTCACCTGCGATGCTCTGTCCACTGTCCTGATGTAGGGTGGGGTGTGGCACAGCTAGGCGAGCGACAGGCCGTGTGGGTGACGGAGGCTTTACCCCCCGTGACTTAGTGTCTAAGGAGCTGTGACAACACCGTGGCCCAGATTCCAAACCAGCGCCCCAGAGGCGGAGGGAGGAAGGCCAGGCGGTAAGACAGCCGGCGGGTTTGCCGAGCTCCGCCGCCGACGAGCCGCGAGCCTGGGGAGAGCAGACGCCACCGGGCGCTCGGCTCTGGCCGTCGGTCAAGCGGCGGGAAGCGAGGGGACCGTGGCCGTTCTGAGGGGCGCTGTCACCGCCGGCGCGTGGTCTCCCTTCCGCTCGGGGTTCGCACGCGCTCAGGCGGCCCCCTCCTTTCCGTTCTTGCTGCCGTCCCTGGTTCTTGGTCTCCTCGGGCGGGTGGCCGTCTTAAACTGTTAACTCTTGCGGTGGGTGGTCGTGCTCCCCAAAAGAGTGGATCTGAGTGAGACGGCAGCATTCGGTGTGGCAGATGGGGCAGAGCCACCGTCTGTGGCGTGAGGGTCTGGCGGACGCAGTGCCGCGAACTTCTGAAATCTAATTCACTGCGACTCGCGGACACAAAGATCCGTTGAGTTCGCTGAGAAGCCGTAAGCCGCATAGCTCCGATCCAGCCAGGCTGGCTTTGACAGTTCTTCCTTTCGAGTCCAGAGAAAAACAAACGCTCTCAAAATAGACGATTCCGTCGCATGACTGTGTCTGAGACACTTAAGGTCCACCCCCCACCCCCCCACTCCCAGTGGCATTTTCTGGCATTTGTGCAAAATTTCAGGGAAGTGCCTCTTCGACCGCCCTGTAGAATCTGATCGCTACCTCCTCGGCCTTTTCCGAAAGAAGCTCCCTCGGTCGGAGCGTAAAATTGGTGAGGACGCATAGAACGCCCGCCTAGATCACAGCGCCCCCGTCCCGTGATTTAAGAGAAGACCGTCGAGTTTATCTGAGAATGTTATCGAAAGGAACGCTTGTCACAAAACCGACTTAGAAATGTCCACGCGAAGAAGCGAAGACACGGCTCTTCGGGTAACCGTGGCGAAGTTGGGAACGGATGGCCGTGTGCTCTTGGCCTGGAGATGTCCTCTGGTGCCTGCGAGGTTCTGGCTGGCTTTGACCTGGCCCCTCGTCACCCGCCCAGCCCTGTCTGTGACCCCTTCTTCCCGAGGCCACATCTGGCCGCTACGAGCCTCCGTGTTGTACCAGATGTCCCCTCCTCTGCCTTCCGGCTGTGGCCTCCCGCCCGCCCAGCTGGCCCAGGCCGATTCCAGGGCCCCTTGTGTGGACCCCACGCGCAGCACCCCACGCACGTGCCACCACGATGCTTGACTCGCTGGTCACGAATGGCTCATTCCATGTGTCTTCTCGGTGAGGCTCCGAGCGCCCCACGTGGGGGCCCCTCACAGCACCCACCCAGTGCTCACCATTTAACAAGGCTGAGCAGACATCTCTTGAGAAACAGCAGCCTCGCCGGTCCCGCTAGCTACTCGGTGTGTTCGCTTGGATTGCTCGCAGCGTTTTACATTAAAATATCCATTCTACGGCCACGCCACCCTGAACGCGCCCGATCCCGTCTGATCTCGGAAGCTAAGCAGGGCCGGGCCCGGTTAGTACTTGGATGGGAGACCGCCTGGGAATACCGGGTGCTGTAGGCGTTAAAAAAAAAAAAACCAAAACGGAACGGTTGATCACACCCCACATGCGAGGGTCCGCCTCACCCAGGCCCCCGATTGTGGTGAACGCGCCTCTGCTGCTCAGGCAGAAACCGGGCAGTGTGCCCAGGCCCCTTCCCCCAGCCCGGCGTCCAGTCTGCTCCTCCCAGCTCCATATCCCCGGCCCTTCTGCTTGGGTGACTGTAAAACGTGCCTACCTGGCCTCCCTGTTCTCCCCTCCAGGACACCCCCACACTGCCACCAGCACGATCTCCTACAGTGCAAACGAGGGCGGTCGTTCCCCTTTCCAGAACCCCGCACGGCTCCCCATTCCCGCAGAACGAGACGTGGCTCCGCCCCCATGACCTGGCCTCCCCTCCCGTCCCGTCTGTGCCACGTTGGCACCAGCGTGCTCGTGACCTCTAGTCACCCTGGGTCTCCCGGGCAGGAACCCTGAGCGGCTCCCAGCTCATCCATTCAGCACTTGTGGATTCTCGGCCTGGAACACCCCACTTCCTGTCCGCTAGCCCAGCGGTCCCCAACCTCGTTGGCACCAGGGACCGGGGCTCCTATGAGCATCTAACGCCTGATGACCCGAGGTGGGGCTGAGGCGGTGATGCCGGCGCTGGGGAGCGGCTGCAGACGCAGACGAAGCTTCACCTGCTCACCCGCCGCTCACCTCCTGCTGTGCAGCTCAGTTCCTGACAGGCCAGGGACCGGTACCGGCCCGGGGGCTGGTGACCCCTGCTCTAGAGGCCTCCCCTGACCACGCCACCCCGGGCGGCAGCCCCTCGCGGTCACCCTCACAGCGATCTCGGCCCGGAACCTTGTCCGCTCCCTGACAGTGCCTCCCCCGGGCCGCCTCAGTGTGCTCGCTCGCGTCCTTGGTACCCTCCACGCTCCTCCAGGTGTGGTCCCCACGGCACCTCCCGCGTCAGAACTTTGCCGGACACGGAGGACGTGTTAGAAAAACACGTGTCGAAAGAAGAAATCGACGGACAGCCCAGGGGAAGAGACACGAGCACATCTGTCAAGCCAACCCCTGCTCCACCACCTACCCTAACCCCAGTGTCCGATTAACGGAGACACTGGGCTCAGACGTTCAAGATTCAGGCCGACTCGGCAGGCGCCAAGCGCTGAGCATTCGCGTCGGGCCTGCGCCTACGGCATCTCGTTAAAATAGCACGTTATGAGGCAGCCACGCTCGTCATCACCGTCATCTCACAGGTGAAAGGCTCAGAACGCAGAATGACACGACACCTGCGACCCACAGAACCAGGCTCTGTTTGAGGCTGGGCGGACGTGAGGCCCACACGTGTCCCACGACCTCCCGTTGAGTTTTCCCCAAAAGGATTGGAACGGAAGTCCTGACTCGCCACTCCGCAGGTTCGTGCAGACAACGCATTTCCCTCCTTACCCCTGGGCTGCTGGGGCACGTTTGTACCGGCGCACTGGACGATGGCGGCAGTGGCCAGGCCCTGACTCTCACTCTGTAGGCCAGGCCTTAAATCCTTGTCCTCTGACGGGGACTTAGGAAAGCTTTCTGGCGACTCACGCGGCCTCGCGGCCAGGAGCGTCTTACCTTGGAACTCCAGCCCGCGCAGCTGGAAGGTGACGAGCCCGTTGCCGACCTCGATCAGGTGCACGAAGGCGTTGAGGTCATCCGAGGCCAGAATGAAGCAGTCGCCGGAGCTGTAGCTGCCCCAGCGGCCCAGCGCTAGGTCGCCGCAGAGGGTCGCCTGGAGGGCCCTGGTCACGTGCTCGTAGAAGATGGCGTTGCGGCTGCTGCCGTCGCTCCCTGGGACAGAGCGAGAGACGTGGTCAGCGCGCGGGCTGCTCCCGGGCGCTCGGGCCTTGGCCGCGGGGTCCTCGCCTGACCGAGGCAAGAAGGGGGCTTTCCAGGAGCTTCGCGCACTTTAGCGGACCCCGTGAGACCCGCCTGTTTTTTACCCTTGACTCTGTTTCTAGGCAAACTCATCGGCACAAATGGATCGAGTTATTGTCTAGATGCAGAAAACTTACGAACTCGTGTCTCCGGCTGAGGCGTCTCGTCCGAGCCCCAGACGTGCGTGCCTCTCCCCCGTGCATCCGAGCGCCCTCACCCTCACGTGGCCCCATCTGTCCCAACCTCAGTGATGGTGAGGGGTGCCCTGCTCCACAGTGGAAGCCAACGTGAGTGTGTGTGTTTGGGGGGTGTGGAATTTGGGGTTCGTGGTGTATTTCTTTCATCTCCGTGCTGGGCCCTGACTCCTTCCGCTCCCTACACTGATCTCTCAGGATGAAGGACAGAAATTTTTTGAATGAGGCCGAATAAACTGGGAGGCGCCCTAGGTTTTGGTCCTGTGGATCAAGTGCCCGCCGGGAGGAAGGCTGGCCTTTGGGACTTTCATTTTAGGAGGATCTTTCCTTTGGGGAGGAAATTCTAGCTCTGGAAGCATAACATGGCCCAGAAGAGAAACCATTGCCTATTGGAGCGGACAGAGGTTCAGGCAGGTCTGCGATAAAGACTGTGGATTTGAACAGAGCCCCCGGTCTGCACGCCTGGGACCCGAACATTTCTGGGGGGACAGGGAGGTGAAGGCCCCAAGTACACCAATATTAGCGCCCTGATCCACCGCTCTCAAAGGATAGAAATCGTTGCTAGGCATCCAAGACAGTTAAAAGCTGAACTGAAATTGGCATATTTATAACCTAATTATGATTAACGGAAAGAAATAAACTGCTCTGCGGGCCGAGTCACGTCGTGCCGGCCCAGGAAGTACCAGGTGGCCCGGTTCTCCGTGTGGATGAAGCCCGCCCGCCCGGCCATCATGCTCCTTTCCCGTGAAGAGCCAGCACGCACCCTGGGACACGGAGCAGAGCTTGCTTTGAGTCTCTGGCACTTATAAAGGAAGGGCCTGACCGAGAGAATTGACTTTTGCTTAATTATTCAGAGTGTTCGATATTTAAGGAACACGAAACAATTTAATTCACTGAAAGTGGAGAGCTTCCCAGAACGCAGCGACCACACGTGATCAGGTTAAAACGAGACAAGTTCGTGAATGACAGAAGGCACGGTGCACTTGTGATACTGTCCTTATGCCTCATCTCGATGGCCTGGTGACGTCATCGAGTCCCATAGCTGCACTTTGCAGATATTTGTGCCCGCCTCCAAGTTGCACTGACATAAAGTTTTAAAAAAACACCTGTCTCTTCGAGTATTTTTAAATTTCAACTTATGATTTCAAATGAATCGTGTATACACAATTCGAATCCAGATAATCGGCATGATACGATTCCTCCTGGACATTTTTGGCACAAGGGAGAGCGAGGTAGATAAAAATCAGGAAGTTAAAATTTGCATTCTGATATGAGAGGAGAAAAAGTAGAACGATTAAAAATTAGATTGTGGAAAGAAAAAGTAAAATGATTTTCTAGCAGGTAAAAACCTTCCATAGTTGAATGTTGACCAGAATTTCTGATGACTTCCAGTCCTGGGTCCTGGATCCCAGAATGGCTTGCTCTGAGGACATCCTAATGCTGACGTTATGCCAAGGAATTTGTTTTTGCTAAAATATCAAGGTTTAATGTCTGTATTTGACATTTATCCTACACAAAATAAAATGTCTTCATTCACAGAGGCGCTCAACATGGCATCAACTCTAAATAACGGAGGAACGCATTTCTGAACGGAATCGGTATGACTGACCAGTCTACCTGCACGATTTCATCTTCACGGTCGGCATATGGACCAAGACGCGCGCTATTTCCACAATGATTACAAACGGTAATTAATTCCTTTTTTGGATGGAAGGAATTTGTCTATATAACAAGATAAATAAACAGATAAAAAAAAAGAGAAGGAAGGTGTCTTCTTACCTGGATCCCCTTCGATCTGGACCACCAGTCTCGTGTTGGAATTATCCACGCGCCTCGTGCTAGAAGGGGCCACAAAGGGTGAAAGGTCACAAGTAGCTCCCTACCCTACCGGTGAGAGAGCTGGTTTAGGGCCCCAGCCGTGTGAGTGGGAAACGCAGGGGAGCTGGAGTCACGTGTGCGGATGACGGCTCCACGTGACAATGCGGCAGAAGGGGCTCTCGTGGTGAAGGGGAGAGGGAGACGTATGAGGACCACGTGGGGTGGGGACGTAAACAGTTCTCAGGATGGGGGAGAAAGCCGCGCACGCGTCTCACCAGCCTGGAGCCCCGGATCCAGAAAGCCAAAGCGGGCACTCGAAGTGCCCGGGGAGCGCCCCTCCCTCCGGAGCTCAAGGGCAGAGCGCGCGGGGCGTCTTTCTTCCTAATCTGATTCTGGAAAGTCGTGGAGCGTCGTCGAGTCTCCCCCACCTGCTTTCAAGGGCTGCGTGAGCCCACAAAGGCCTTTCCCGGATCGAACCGCGAAAATACGACCGCTTTCACCGGCTCAGGAGAAGACGGATCGTCGGTAGCCGTGGTGACAAGTGGCCACCGGAACCAGTCTTGAACCTCTTCAATTACAACACACCTCGTAAGCCGCCTGCCAACCCATGGTGGCCCCTCGCTTCTAAGAGTCATCCAGCGAGGGACAGACTCACGCCAGGAACAGTGGCAGGCTCCCCGGGCGACTGCCCTTGAACGTCCGGTGTCCCCCGAACCTTTATCAGTGTCACAGTCTGCTCCGCTCAGAGAGACTGTGCCTGACCGGCTTTGTCACTTCAGTTCAGATACTGAGTGGTGGTCTCGTCATCCTTGGGAGGATGAACTACGAAACCGATGTCGACCCCATGAAGCGGATGATATTCAACTACTTAGGACCTATGAAAACCGTCGCGTCACGTGGCTAAACCCACCTAAGCCATCCAGAAAGGTCTCGTGCCAGAAGGAGATCAGCGGACGCGGGGTCACGCGCAGGCTCGAGGTAAGGATGGCCCTGCTCCTGCCGGCGGGAACGTGGCCCTCGGCATCTGGCCGGCTCTGCCATCGCTGTGCCCTCGGCCGTCCCTGCGCCAACCCCGCTGGCCTCCTTTTCACTTCCTTCCACGGCGGCCCCTCCCTCCTCGGCATCCTCTGCAGCCGCCCCGCCTTCCGCTCCCTCTCCGGTCCCCCCACCGCCACCCTCTCCCCCCACCCCTCGGTGACTCTCTCCACCCACTTCCTCAGCAAAGACGCCACCACGGCGAGCGCCACGCGGCACGTGCTCACACACACCTGGCTTCACCTTAGGACGCTCGCCACGGTCACCGTTACTAGTAACGGCGACATCGTTACAGGTCTCATGACGCCTGTGTATCGACTATGTCTGGTTATTATTCTAGGTCTACTTATTATATGACTAAAAATGATGCCATTGGTGGCACCTGTGTAAAAACTTTACACATATTAACTCACGACTACCTTCAGCAGTAGGTATTCTGATAATACCCATCCTCACGGGGGAGGGATCTGAGACATGGTGACATTAAGTGCCCAAGGTCACATGTCATACGCTTCTTTGTGTGATCATTTGATTCTATCTTACGCCAGACCCTAAGTACCACGAGGGCAAGCATTTGGCTCACACCTGGCTCGGAAGAGTCGCTCAGTCAGCATTTGCTGAATGAATAAATGAATGGTCAAAACAACACTGCTTCTCAAGTGTTTTTCTTTGATGACACCTGCTAAGAAGACAGGAGAGTAGCTGCTACCAGACGACATTTAAACTCAATCGCTGACATACCGAGTACGATTTAACAAATGACGAACGCTCGCGATGGTGCTTAAGGAAAAACCTCTGAACACAGAATTATTCTGAGAGCTCGTCTCTCGGAAGTCAGAACAAATAAATAGATACTTAGATGGAACTGTCATTCAAATAAATGAAAAGAATCGTTATCAGAAAAAAGTATTTTCTTTTCTGTGTCTGTCTCGGACATTCGAGAATCATCTTGGCATGACTGTGTCTCGGCCTTGTGGGACAGGCTCTAACGGACGGGCTGGTGAGAAGGAGCCCCCGGTCAGACCCCACGAAGGTGTGGACACTGTCGCGTCTCTGCTTCGGTTTGCCTGCCAAATGCCCTCGGACCAGCTTTGCACATCAAAGAGCCCAGGGTTGCAGAAAAAGAAGCAAACGACAAAATTCTTTCTAACGAAGGCTGAAATCCCATGTCGACACAGTGAGTCCCTAAATGGAATTTTAATTTCACCTTAAGACCTAGGACAAATGGAACTTTCAGCAGCGGAATAAACAATTTTTGAAGTGGGACTAAACCAAAAGAAAGTCATTTACCAAACTCTTGAGGGGATTAAAACACCCTCTAACACTATGTGAACTGGGAGGCTCTTTTCAGCAAGCTACAGACAACGGCGCTCGCTCCCACCAGCAGGCACTAAGCCACTCTGCCCGACCCGGGGCCACCAACTTGCCACCAGACTCTCGGAGGCGAACTGTCAGCGCGCTGGGTGATTTGAGTGTGTCTCCAGCGCCTTCCTCCTTTACATTTGGTGCTTACACTCAGAGGCGTTAATTAGCTCAGTAATTGGATTTCTGCCTTAACTGCTCTATTGCACGAACATCGACTCTGTTACTCGAAGAGAAGGCGGGGGCTGATGTCTCACCCCCCGATCTCGAGGGGCACAGGGTGCTGGTGCACGTCAGCCGTGCGCGTACGTTTCTTAGCACCTGCTTGGCAAAGCCACAGCGACTTCCTAGGCAGCATCACTGTAGGGGCCGCAGGCCAGGCGTCTAGTCATGGGTCCTTCCGGAGAAGGAGACTTGCTCGAAGGCATCTGTCCCCGTGATAACGCGACCGCAGACAGCGAAGCCAGTTCCTCCCTTCAAACCTGCCTCCCCGCCCGCTGATCTCTCCCCCTCAGTCTGACACCTTCTCCCTTGGGTGGCTTCGCCTGAGGCGCTTAACTAATTTAACAGTAACTTAATTACACGGCTTCGAAGTCCCGCCTGTCAGCACACGCAGACTGCTGAGGTCGGAGTAGCCCCACTTCTGATGGGGAAGTATGGCTGGCGGAGTGAGAAGTCTGAGGGGCGTCTCCTCACCTGGCCGCTCCAGGATGGAGTCCAACTGCTGCTGGCCGGACAGTCTTAGCAAAATCTGGACGATGAGAAGGCAGCAGAGTCGAAACAGGAAGACACCGACCCTGTTTCAGCTGAAAATGCACACGAGGTTTATCTGGGTTTGCTTGTCACCTTCGATTTTGCTGCCATGGACAACCGTGTCCGTTCTCTCTGAGCCACTGATGCCCTCGGGCTCCACACGCCAGAAAGACGAGGAGTGAGGGGGTCTCCAGAGGCTGCAGCGTTGCCAGCTGGCAGGGTGGACGCTGCCTGCGGTCGGTCAGGTGAACGCCAGCCTCGCTATGGTCTGGGAGGCCGAGTTCTGGGTCCCCTGCATCTTAGGGGGCAGCTGTCGGTAATTTCCTAGAAACATATAACACACTGAAACGAACTCAAGAAGGAAGAAGAGAGTGGAAAACCCCTGTAGCTGTTAAACAGATGGAATTATTAGTTAAATAACCACCTGCACGTGAGAAAATACAAATGTCTAATGAGAGTGATTTACCTAAAAAGAAGAGGAGAGATGAGGGGAAGAAGAGAGGAAGAGAGAGAATGCGGGAAGGGTGAGCGAGAGGGGGAAACACCGCACGCGACCAGAGTGGGAACCAGCGCAGAGCTCTGAAGCGACACCGCTGTGCGTGCGGAAACGTGGCTTATTCTTGTTTATCACAGTCGTGACTCGTTAGATTCCGAGGTCTGAGGATTCATGTCTTTCATCAATTTTGAAAACTTCACATTATCGTCTCTTGAAATTGTGCTTCTCCCTATTTGTTTTCCGCCTTCTTCCAGGAGCTCCTAGATTTCTAGCTGGCATCTTCCGTTCTGTTTTCTATGTCTCTTCACCCTTCCGGACTATGTCCTATATCTTTATCATTCTTTGTTGCATTTTCTTAGACTGGTCATTTTTCTTAGGCTGATTTCTAGTCGAGTTATATTTAATGGACTAACTTATGTGTTATATTACACATTTAGTGACTGCATAAATTTATTTTTATAAGCTCTGTTCCAAGTGATCATTTTTTCAGAGCAACTTGGCCTACGGTTTTCTTTCTTTTTATATGACTTTTCATTCTAAAACTATGTTCAATGCGTGTGCCTAATTATCTACAGTTTTGGAGGGTCTGCATCCGTTGGTTATTTGGTTGGCTCTTGTTCAACAGCCCACGTCTCGCAGTGTTTGATCGAGAATCCATTTCCAGAGGGTGGGATTGTGCCCCTTGGGAAAATTTCACGCTCGCTTCGGTCGGCGGCTCTAGGGGTTCTATGTACCAGCACCTCTTTTACGCTACCTTTTCAGTGGGAAGATTTCCAGACGTGGGCAGTGTCGTTCTGAACTCCAGTCCACACGTGACACAGGTTCAGTGGCCCATGGTCGCCCTGGAGCTTTGCTTCCGTCTGGTCTCCGGTGACATAATCAAGCTTCCGTGTCACCTCCCGTGTTGGGCATTTCGCTCTTTCTCTGAGGGGGATGCTTTCAAGGGCTTTGGCTCAAAGTAGAAAACTCAGTCCCAACTTCCTGCCTCCGTGGGACCCCTCGCCGAGCCCGGCACGTGGGTGTCTACATCTCAGTGCCAGGATGCTGCCCTGGCCACCTCCCGCCCCCGCCCAGCCCGGACAGTGGCCTGGCTGTCTTCTGCTCCCTCTTTGTTTCTAGCTCCTGGGAATTGCCTAACTTTCCTACTATGTTCAGAGACGAACTGAGAAGAAATTTTACTATTTATCATTTCCTGGTCCTCGTAACAAAAGTTTTGAGCTTCTCTAATTTGCTACATTTCTGGAACTGAAAATTTGTAAGCCAGATTTTTATAAAGGGAAAAAAAATATTTGTTATAGAACTTTTCAAAGTAATGCACTGATAAATTTAAAAGCAGAATTCATCTGTTTTCTTCACCTTATGTTTATAGCGCTT